GCTGTCGTTGCCTGCGGTCGCGGCGTTCGTTGTAAGGAGTGTGCCCATGAGGCTTTAGACCCTGGAAGCTTCCTTATTTGCCGAGGGCGGCGGTGAACTCCACGGCCAATCCACGATTCGATTACCACCGGCTTCCAGACCCTGTATTCTTTATCCAAGGGTTCCTCATCCAATGCCCTGACCGTGCGCCGACTTACAGTCAAACAATCCACAGCCAGGACGGGTCACCTTTCCAAGGGCACCCCTGCGTCCCTGGATTTGTGGTCGGCAGTGCGCCAGGAGAGAAGGATCCTCCAAGGGTCTCGCGTCCTTGCAGCGCGTCCTCACTACAGAGTTTGACTGTACCTCCGCTCCTCTCCGCTTCCCGCCCTCCGCCCTCCCTCCGCTGGCGACGGGCGATGCCCTCCTGCTGGGGGCCCCGCACTCCTGCGGGGGGGGGCTCGTCGGTGCCCTCCGCCCGCGAGCTGGCGGTCTCGTCGCTGCTCTCCTCGGCCCCGGCTCGGGCCTCCTCCCTTCTCCCCCAGCGATCTGGTCAACGAGTCCGCCCTTCCTCGCCCCTCCTCCATTTCCTTTCCCTCCTTCCTCCTCCCCCGGTGCTCCTCGTCCTCATTCTCGCCGCTCGGCGGACGCGGGGCCGCGCTGGAGAGGAGACGATCGCTCGACGACCCGCGCGCCACGTCAGCCCTCAGGCGCTGGCTCAAGCCCAGCACCTGTTGCGCAAGTCCCCGCGTCTCCGCCAGCAAGAGACTGGCAGGTCCGCGCGGCTGGGAGGGATACAGTCGGGGCCCTGAAGAAGGAACCCTTTTTGTTGGGGAGGGGCTCCGTGTTCCTTAGTTGCTTTGCAGTGCTCCTTGGGTTTTCCTGAGTTTTTCCATGGAACATCGGAGTTTAATATATGGGAAAAAGGGGCCTCGTTCCTTATTTATCGTTCCTTAGGTCAACGCCCCGACTGTAGCATCGTTGTCGTGGACGGACCATCGCAGGGAAGCCAGAGGGGGCAGCTTGGCTCTCCGGCCCGTTTTTTGTCCTCCGAGCCGCCCAGCTTCATCCCCGAGTTGCTGTGCTTCGGATGGTCCGTCCCAGGTTCTTGGCATCGCTCGGACGTGTGCATTGTTCCTTCGGCGGGGACCATCGAGGAGCATCCTTGATCATTTGGCGAAAAAACCACGCACGACACCGAAACAAATACAGGGAATGGACGTCCGAGCGATGGCGAGAGTTTGTTCAGGTGCTGTTCAAGTCGTTCCAACCACGGCCAGTTCTCTCCGAGCTGTCCCATGTCAGGATGCGCAGGTCGCGGCCCTCGCCAGCTTCTCCGTGCCTGGCAGTGTGCACCTGCGGCACGGTTCCGGTTTCCCTCGCTTCCGGCTTCTTCTTGGCACCTCTCGTGTTTTTGGTGGCGGGTTGGAGGCCCGGGGAGTGAAGGAGTGAGGATGGAGCAAGAGGGGCGCATGGGGGGATGCTGGAGGAGGACGTCCAAGGAGCGGGAGGAGCATGAGGAGGAGCAGGAGGATGGGCAGGAGGAGCAGGAAAACGGTAGAGGGAAACAATTACTGAACACTCCCCTTCCCCCCAAACTCAATGTTGGCACGTGCCGGGGAGACTGCGGCCGAAGTGCATCTCATCAGACCGACCGCCAACTTTGAACACTGGGGGCAGGGGGAGGCGTTGACGGATGAATGTGGCATGAGTGTTCGCTAATTTGTTCCGAGGCCTGTAGTAACATAGATTTCAAGGGCGGTCGTGTTGGACTGCTCCAGATCTCCCCGCCGAGAGCTTCCCAGGTGCGCCGATGCCGTCCACCGCGTTACATGCACACGGGGCCAGGGATGTAACCAGCAGCTGAATGACCGTGGGGCAGTTCTCAAGGACGTCCTTCTTCTGTTTCTTTTCTGGCTTTTTAAGGGCAGCGACCCGAGATGCAACAGCTCTCTTATAGTTCGAAGCTGGGCTGGACCTAAGAGTTGTTTTGCTGGACTTCGGCTGTGTTTCGTTTTTCGTTCTGGCAGGGAGGTACAGGAAAACAGGGAAAGCAAAACGAACAACACAACGAAACCAACATGAAACACAACTTTTAGGTCCAGCCCTTGTGAGAAGAGAAGACATGACGGGCTTATCCTTTTTGAGCCGTGCTCTCGTGTGGATGGCAGGCCCACTCGGAGCTCGTTTTTTTCAAGGGGCGATCCCGGTAGTGCATCAGAATGCCTGTAGGGACCTGCGAGCGTGAATGGGGGCATGGAAAGGAAGGGTGTGTCGCAACATCGCTGTTGCATCCCAGGTGTCTGTTCTCCTCATCCCGTTCTTTCCCGAACCTCTCTCTAGACCTAAGTCGGGCGTGCCCCTTTACAGGAGGAGTATTCAAAAATAGTCAAACATAGTACGGGGCCGACTTTTTGAAAATTGTTATGTATTCTTGGGCTACTGTTTGACTAAGTCTTATCTTTCCTCCAAAATCCGCCTGGAGGAGGACGCGCCCGACCTAATGCGAGTGGGAAGGAGG